TATCTGCTCCGAGAAGACATGGGCATGCACTGTCAAGAAGATTTCGCAGCTCCTGGTGCCAGACAACAGCACCTGAGACTTTGACGTCGCCAGGGTCCACTGTGAAAGTGCTCGGACCCATGGACAGAGATGCTCGCTGAGCCAGCCATCGTGCATTCTGAGCTCTGGCCTGTAGCTGCACAGTACCTCTTAACTTCACTCTCTCCTCTTGTACTTGGTTCACCCGGGCTGCGTGCTCGGTGTCGAAGAAAGTGCGCTCAAAAACATGTTGAAACGAGCTGAGAGCTGGAAGCCTTGCGAGCGAATCAGGAGAAGCCTCCTTTGTGTAGTGACCTAGATGGAAAAGGTCAATAGACTTCCTGCTGGCAACATTTGGGCGCTTCTTCAGACGATCTTGACCGTTCTGCTCATCCAGCATTTCATACGGTGTCACTGTATGAGGGAGGGTTCATGTGGAGGAGGAAACTGAGGTTGTTAACGCGTTCAATAGCTCACTAGCCCGTTCACAGACGGTGAACTCTCAAGATGTCCAAGTTCCAAGGTGGAGTCCTCTTGGCCGTGTGCAGATTTTCAATGAGACCGACCTTATGTGCCCTGGCTTCACAGCTTGAATGTCTTGGGAGGGCTTCGACTGCGTCTTTGCCACAATTTCGCAGGATCTTCTGTTCTGGCTTCTACTCGCAGAATAACAAGGGCAATATGGTTAAGCGCGCGCAAGCTGAATGCACCAATCATGTACGTATGCAAACCAGTTTTCCAGCCCACGCGTAGTGCGGCGAATTTTGACCTTGCCGCAGACGCGAGACTCACTCAATGGCCCAATCAAGTAATCAATCAATCAACCAATCAAAGAAAGAAACATACGTTTGATGTATTGGAGCCTTGATCGGTCAGACTCAACACAGTGCCTACTGCAGGAGTAGCGACCAAGAAGCCGGAGCTTTTAGACTGGCGTTTGCAACAGATGTGCTCAAGCCGTAGTTAAAGCCTTCGCAACTACCCGATGGCAGCTGACCGGTGCAAAGTACAGCTCCAACTCACATGTGCACGGGTTGCTTTAAACGAAGAGAAGCGCAGTCGGGACGTTTGCAAGGGTCGTTCGTGCGCATAGATGCTTCAAGGTTCACCATCCCAACCAGTGACTACGTGCCGGGCGGGCAGGGACCCCATCGTCATGCAAGCACTTGTACATTTGCTTGGAGTTGACACCTAAACTCTAACCTAAGCAGTGAAGATATCTGGAACCCTGCAGTGCTTTGGATGTAAAAGCAGAACTTGGGTGCGCTCCAGGCTTTGTGCGCAAGGCTACAGTACTAAACTCCTGTGTCTGCGTGACAGCGCTACAGAACGCCCTAATGGCAGCATTTTTCACCAGGAGTAGTTTGAGCTGAATCTAACTCCCGAACCCTGAGCAAGAGTCGTCAAAAAGCTTTGAGGTCCATTCTTAGTTTGCTCTCCTCCAGCAGCCCTCCTCCGGCTCCACCACTGTGAGACAGTCATCGCTTCTATTGCTAGGAGTTCTTGATGACTGTAAGCGTGTTGAGTTTGTTGTATTCAGCCGCTGATGCTCTTGTATGTTCTTGTGATTGTTCTTACGCATGCTAGCAAAACTTCTTCATTCTTTCTTTCACGACTGACCTTGCGCCCTTGGGCCGAAAGCCTGAATCACAGACTGTTCTTCTCCCAGCCTTGCCAGTCCCGTACGCAATCTTCAAGTGCTGCCAGAGCACCGCGCGGTCAAGGTGGCCTGCCGCATCTACAGGAGTTTGCCCGAAAGAGATCCCTGAATTTTGGCAAGATGGTTAGTTTCCGGGGTCCACCCTTTTTGATTAGCATGTGGCAAAGCGCAGCTGCTCAGGGATCTCTTGGAGATTTGTGGATGAGAACGGCAAGTCGGGGCTTTGAAGTACCTGCGCTGTTGCCAAACAAGATGTGATGTTTCAGTTTGAGGAGAGGTCACAAGAACAATGGTCTTATCAGGCACCAGCATGTACCTGCAATGTACTGTAAAGGGTGGTGGCTTGAAGCTTCACAGATACTCATGCGACACGCATGTTCCTTTTAGTGACTTTCAGAGGGTACATGTACGTTATATACTATATATTATATACATACCCACACCAGCAGGTCATTCCCAGACATTCGCATGCTCTCTTGCTTCTGTTCTACTCCCGAACTAGTGGTACTTTGCTGAGCTGCAGGTTCGACTTCCACAGCCTGGGTGCGAACCTGAGGAATCATGAGAGAAAGCAGCCTGTCAAGAGTTTGCCCAGCATGGATATGTAAGCTACAATCCTCCTCAGAGCTTGCAAGCAGTGATATTTGGAAGTGCCCGCCGTTGAGGGGATTGCCGATGTTGCGGCCTGGGCGGAACTTCAGTCTGGCCTTGTCGCCTGGCGCTCTGCAGGAAGCAACGAGAGGGCTCCCTTTGCATCTGCTTTGGCAGATTGATTTCTGTGCAAATCCTGCCTCCAGCTTAGAGCAGGACATGGGCTTGGGCAACCTGAGCGACGCCATTCGCCTGGAGTTCAAGTGTTTGCTGCGGGCTGAGGAGGTTTTGCAAATGTTCATTAAATGTGTCATGTGCGTTGCATGTCTCAAGCATTCACAGCGGTGTGGCAGGGAGATGAGTCAGGGAAATGCCATGCCCCGCGCCATTGCAGCCGATATAGCAGAGGGCCAGGAGGCCACCGATCTTCGCAAACTTGTGGGTTATGCCCGGCTTGAGGATGCCATCTCTAAACAAGATGCTGGACATCTTGTGTGCCGATGTGCAGGTGCCAGGCTCGCGGCACATCTTCAACATTTGGTACAGCGAGGCTAGCCCAGGGCCGGCTCGGTTTAGGATTCTGAACGCAACTGCTCGAAACTTGGAGGACATTGCCAAAGCAGTGGACCAAAAGCCGCCGGTCTCCTTGTTGTTGCCGTCAGGCAGGGAGCCTTGAGGTCTGGCTTGGGACTTCTTTCCGCTTTAGGACTCAAGGATCATGTGTAGGAGGCTGGCTGAAGGAGCATCGGGTGATTGCTTCTAGTGACCGAAGGCTTCCACCACCTGTGCAATATTAAAAGTCTTCATACGCTCTGAACTTGCTCCAGCTGCTCCAGCTGATCATGGAAGTTGAGACAAGGCCCTTTCTAGAGCCTTGTGATGACCGCGAGTAGTAGCAACCCCTTTTACATGGAAGCTGTGCTCTTGTATTAAGCCAGAACGCAGGCGCTGAGTTTGCAAATGAGCGCCTGCCACAGCTTTAGATAAAGACCTTGGATCTCTGGTTGTAGACTCCTGCAGAATTTCTGTCGGATTTCCTTGGCTGATTTTGCATCTTGTTTCCAGATGTGGCTTTTCGTAAGATATTTTGACGACTATGAAAGCTTTGTGCATCTTTGGATTGCTGAACACATGCTGTTTCAGTCTGCGAGTGTTGGGGCGCAAAGTTCAGGGTTCCCGGATGACTCGAGTGCTGAAGATCGAATCGTGACCATTAGATTGCCCCAAGCCCGCAGGCGCCGTGTCAGATCTGCCGGGGGAGAGCCAAGAGGCCGACAGTAGGAACAGGATCTTGGCATGATGGAAAAGAAAATGGATACTACTATAGTATAATGGAAAAGAAAATGGAAGCTGCTATAGTATAATGGAAAAGAAAATGGATACTACTATAGTATAATGGAAAAGAAATGGAAACTACTATAGTACATTAGGGTTATTTTTGATCTGGTGCCAAGACTTCAGTCACATGAAACACTGTCTACATTGATTCAGGAGCGGACGCGCGTTTTATTTTCGTCGCTACTGTACCCTCTGCTTTACCACCCCCCCCCCCCAAAAAAAAAA